CCTCATTTTACCCACCCCGTCTTATAATCAGGGACACCTTATATTTGAATAAATATGGTAATTTAGGGCCATGTTAGCTCTTTCCCCTGGGCTGCGAGTTCTGTAGTGCAGCAAAGAATCCCAGCCCTGATTTCTATTCCCATTTATGCTGCTTATGAGCAAGTCATTAAAGTCTAATTTTTCAAAAACAGTCACTCAGTTCATCAACCCCAATTTTTTGGATGCCAAACCTGAAAAGCTTATTGTATGTGTTCCCAAAACTATTAGAAATATAGGACATTGGGCACCTTTTTTCAGGCTTCTACAACTGAATTGGGTTGTTGAGTTTCTTATGTTTTGATTCCATAGTTGCTTTTTGTTGAACTTCACCCTTTTCTTTCCTCCTTTTCTTTTTGTAATTCGTTGAGGTAGAGAAGGCATTTGACAGCACAGCTAGGGATACTACCACACTAAGTCTCAGTCTATTATCCTTACTTGACCTGGATGTCTTACTTAGCAAGTTCTCCATCCACTTTTAATTCAATATGAATCAAGATGGCTAGTCAGGTGAATTCAGTGTGAATAGTCAGGTTCTTTGAAAGTGCACTATGAATGCTGTGTAAAATCCCCTCGCCAATGTTGTGTGATGATCTGGTATTCTCAAAAAAAAGCAGAAAGCACAAAACAAACAAAACAGAGTATGCAAATTATTTAGAGGAAAACACCAAAAAAACCCTGAGAATATTCCAAGAATTTACATTATTACACTCTAGTCAAAGTTAATTTCCACAGAGATGAAGAATTGTTTGGGTGCACTGTGAATGCCCAAGGCTTATAATGCAGGAAGGGCACCACAGTGTAAAACACACATCTCAGTAACGACAGGGAAACCCTGTTTTTTTCCCATTGCTTACAAGCAGCTCCCAGATTTCCCTGCTGACTCCAAGAGGAAAGTCAATCAGATAGTGTTTGGCTTGCTCTCTGCACTGACTGGTGTTAGTCTCCTGTTCTTTCCTATTGTCAACACAAGCTTCAGGGTTTTTTTTCCTGCAGAGCTGTCAGCTGTCTCCATATATCTCTAACTAGCCTCTAAATAGTCTGTGAAAGAATGACACAAGAGCAGAGAGAAACACCAGCAGGTAGAGAAGCCTCTGCCAAGCTACAGGGAAGAAAACTGTGGGGAGAGGAATTATCAGGCTAGCTGCTTCCATTACTTCCATCTCAGTATTAATGACAGCAAACCTCTGCCACCATACTCAAGGAAGGAATTTTCACTCAAAAAGTAGAATAGTTACTTCCATGAATTCCACAATTTCTACCATCCTTGCTCTCAGGAAAAAAGTAAAGGGCTCCTAGATGTGAGCAGTAAATGACTGGCATGAATGGCAAAGCAATACTGGGGAACTAATCTCACAATATGATAATGGAGCAAACAGGTCGTGGGGGGCTAAGCTATGGATGCCTTAAGAGATCAGAGTTCGAATTTGTTATTTTATGAGGTGAAGTGGTGAAGCCAAGGGATGCAATTAAGGGAAACAATTTAATCAGAATGACAAACCAAAAAGATGTTCCTAGCAGTACCTTTTTTGAATGAGCCAATGTTGTAGGTGTCAAGGCCAGAGAAGAAAACAGCACAGTACTCAAAATGTGATATGACTAGGATGATGACTTCAGTTTGGGCAAGATCCAAAGCAAAAAGAGTGTTGAATTAATGATGAGGCTATGATTCCTGGCCTTAATAAAAGGAACAAAGTTTTATTGCCCATTGTGGTACAGAAAGAAGGGAGGACTACAGGAAAAAGATATCAGGATTCATTCTTGGCCAAATTAATTTTTAGTTGATCAATGGACTCATGCAAGATGTTACAAAGACAAGCATAGATCTAGTGTGGGTGAAGGAAGATAGGTCCAAATAAGGATATTCAAAGCTGTAACTATTGATATGATCAACCAAAGAAAAAAGATAAAAAGAAGTGCTAAGAACAGAGCTCTTAAGGACTGCCATCAAAAGAGGGACAAGGAGAGGCAATTGCACTTAAAGAGCAATCTCATAGGAGACTTGGGGGTGGGGGAAAGTATGAGAAAAACTGAAAGGGTCATCTACAGAGACAACCAATCTGTCAAGAAGGAAGATAACTAAATACAGGCATTGGTGTCTGAAGAGATTTTTAAGGATGTGTATGAAATTAGCCTCATTGTAATGAAAGGGGGAAGAAGTCATATCAAAGCTCTAGACTGTAATTATAACAGTTCTAAACAGTGTGCTTAATTAATTTGGACAAGTGGGAGGTGGGGTCAAAGCTGGAAGGGATTATAAGGAAGAGGAATGCATATTGTAAAGGGGAAAAAATTGGAGATAGTGAAAGGTTGTGGAAAAGAATGAACATGGGGAAATATTAGCAAGGGGATGGAAAAGAAGAGGATTCCTGGGGTAGGTAGAAGAAATAAGAAGGAAAGCAAAATCAGTGTCTGACAGGGGATAATGAAGCAGTGGTGTTATAAACACTATGATCCAGAGCATTGGCGATGCATAGGGGGTGCACCCCAAGATTGGCAGTGCACCCTCTGCAAAAAGCATCACCAACGCTGCTGGCAGCACCTGCATGCAGTCGCCATTCCCCCACCCCCCTGAATTGCCGCTGACACTGCCGGCAGCATCACTGAGCAGTTCCTGATTGCTGCTGGCCACCACTGCTGGCAACATCTGTGGGTGGTCACTGACCGCTGGTTGGCACCCCAGCCTCTGAGGGCATGCATCGTTCATGATCCAGAGAATATGTCAAAAACAAGATTTGTGAGGTGAGGTTAAATCTGGACCAACTTTATAGTTATTAGATAAACTTTCAGGCACAAAATGTCCATCCTCAGGTCAGAAAAGTGGATGACAGAAGGTGATGGAAAAGGATCAAGAACATTGTACTGCTTTTTGTCTTGAAAAGAGAGGAAGGAATCTGAGGAGAGTGTTAAAAGCGGTGAATAGATGGTTGTGATTGTGAGCATGAAAATCAAAGACTATGAAAACGTAACAGGTGCTTGGCTAAGAAAATGCAAAGCTGAAGGAGAAAAAAATGCCAATGGAAATTGTTTGGGGACCATCCTTGGAGATGCACAGCAACAGGAGTGGCTAGACTATATTGTGAAAGTGAGTCAGGGCTGAGATTGCAGAATTAGACCCTACAATCATCAAGATGGCAAGGGAGTAAAGAACACAGAGTAAAAAGACAATGATGAAGTCTTTGGAGTACAGGGCAGGGAGACAGGATTCACAGCAGAAAATGTTAGTGGAAAACACTGCAGAAACAAAGGATGGATTAGAGGGAAGGGGTAATGGTAGGAAGTGATGGTAGGAGAGGGATGATCATAGTGGAGAAATCATAAAAAGAGATGATGGCAGATAGAGTGGACATTTTAGTGAGAGGGATTGCTGATCCAGGAATTCAAGCCAGGTAAAAAATAAGGGAAGGAAATATGCAGCTAAAGGGTCAGTTTAAGAACATCCTCCAAACAGTGTAAAAAGCAGGGTGAGAACTGCTGCCAAGTACAGTAGCTTACTTTCCCAGACAACATTCACCGTCAGCATTTTTCATTACAGACAGTCATCTTAAATCACAGAGTACTTAGGCAATAAATGAATAGTTTCTTTGAGGGGATAAACAGAATGGGAGAAAGACAGAAAACAGCACTAGTGTTATAATAACATATTAGCATGAAAATTTAATTACAGAAAAAACCCAAAACACTTTATTTTAGCAGTTCTCACATTAGTCTGTGAATGTCTGGTGGTCTGTGAGGGCATAGTGAGTGGTTCATAGCTAGCCTTCAAATTAGACTAGGTTTTCCCTCTTCCCTTTTGCATAAAAAGCTTGGTGAAGGTATGTGGTGGTGTTCCACTGGAAATGTTGATGGCTAGGAGCAGTCCACTGATCCATAGAGTTTAGCAGCCATTGTCCTATTACATTCTGACTAGTTTCAACCTACATGATTATGGGAACAGTGCTCAAAAGCCAAAATCTGCCAGTCTCAATATTCTCCAAGATTTCTTGGGAATTTTGCCTGCATAAAGATCAAAGTAAGAATGGAAGGTTTTAGCTGAAAGCAAATGAAACTACATAGATACAAAAGCACCTCCCCCTGGGCCCATATATTATCATTCTGTAACTTCATTAACTATAATGGCAATACTCCTGATTTAGGGATTGATACAAAGCTTATTGTTGTCAGTGGAAAGACTCGTGTTGGGGCTTCACTCTGGTGTGGATCAGGCCTCTACATCACTGTTAGTTCAGAACCAGAACATTTTTATTCTTGGTAAGCCTTTGGGGGAAGGAACCATCTTTTTTGTTTTGTGTTGGTATATCACCTAGTATAATGGGCTTCTTTTTTATGACTAAGTTCTTAGGTGTGATGGTAATAGCAGCAGTAATAGAAAGGTATTCTTAAAAGTGTACCCAATGTGCAGCCTTTGCAGCCTCAGCAGTGAAACTAGCATATCACAGGTGGGTGCCATGACCTCATTAGTAGAGAGTATACTCAACAGCATTGCTTATCATCAATTCATTCATAATAAAAAGCTGATCAGTGTCATCACTTTTACATACAAATACAGGTTGCCAGAGGCTTGTGCTCCTTAAAAACATCACAGATCAGACCATGCCAAGCAATCAACAAGATATCACCCACCAGAACAGTACTCCCTCTATGTGACAAAGTGCAATACAGAAGCTAAGAAGGAACCGTGATGTGGCCAAAGATATGAAGGCAATCTGGCCTCTTGAGAAAGCAAGCACACTACCAGTAGTGATGCCATGGATATTTGCCACACTGGAAATAGAATAGACCAGGCTTGTCCAACATATGGCCCGCAGGCCGCCATGCAGCCCACCAAGCCACTTTCTGAGGCCCAAGGTCCCTCGCTCTGGACAGGCAGCTGGGGGAGGGGAGGAGAGCTGTTCACCCCCATGAGGCCAGGCTCACATGACCTCCCACGTGACATGAGCCAGGTCCTGCCACCGCCCCAAGGGCTGCCCCAGCTGCACCTGACGGGACAAGCTGGAGACAGTGCCTGCTTTTACTTGTCTCTGGCTCGGCCCCGACCCCCGGGACTCACCGGGCTCAGTGACAACAGGGCGCGGCGCCCAGCACAGGCAGTTGGCAGGGCAGCCCCGGGGGGCCTCGGCAGGTGGGATCCAGTCATGACCTCTGCGGGGTGACACGGCAGGAGCCGGTGTCCACCAGGCCCCGCGCTCCAGGTTCGCACCACTGAGGCCGCCAGGGATACGTACACCGTCAGCCGAGCACCATGGTGAGCGGGGCCAGGCAGGCAGGCAAGGGGCTGCGGTGCAGCGCTGCCTCACTCCAGCCCCCCTCGGGCAGCGCCGGCTCATGGGGC